CAACAATCATGAGTTATTATCAGCGGCGTTGCTGACTGATTGTGCTAATGTCTGCGCTGATCGTATTAATGCCGGGGCTGATTGGAACACATCCATCATAATATTCCTGGCAATGAAGAGGTAATAACTGGCATTATCCTGATAATGAAAAAGACTGTTAGGCTGAAGATTAAAACTAAACAGTGATAACAAGGGACTTCATATTTGGGAATTACTGAGAGCAGGAGAGGATATTGCACCTCTGCTCCTCCCTTTGTGATTCCTCGTTCTCATCATGTCCTTGCCTCCTCTCCTTTGCTAATCACCGACTAAATGCCACATTTTGCTCCCTATGCATCATTTCTTTACCCGTGTTCGCCATCTTGCCCTCTACATCTTCTCTCACTTTCTCCTTTCCCTCTTTAACTTGACATGCCTCCCTAATTTCTGTGCTTTAACCGTCCTAATTCCTCCTCTTCTATTTTTGTGTCCTTCTTAGTTATCATCCCACCAGCTTATCCTCCCTTTTCTGGACTGTCTGTCCTTTCCCCCCCTGTCTGCTCATTCTTCATCCTATTTGTTAGAAATCCTCCCTCCTCCTTCCTCATTTTGTCTGTTTTTTTTTTTTTTTTCCTTCTTCCTTCCCTTTCCTCATCTTCTCTTGTTTGACAGCCCACCTGCTTTACCTCTCCATCCTCCCCGGCTCTCTTTTTTTTTTTCTTTCTTTCTTTCTTTCTTTTTTTTCTCCTCACTATATATCCACCACCTCCGGAGCAGTAAGGAGCCCTGTCCATTTATGGGGGAAGTGAGACTGGTGGGGAGGTGTGGGAGGGAGTTTCAAGAGTTTTAATGAGCCAGTGCTCACACTTATGACAGGAGGGGTAAGTGATGGAAAATTAATCTGTTTGAGAGAAAGTGTGTGTGTGTGTGTGTGTGTGTGTGTGTGTGTGTGTGTGTGGACGTAGGGTGCATGTGGGAATTTTTTGGGAATATATGTGTGCACATTTGTTATCCTGTGAGAATTCACCGGCTCGCCAGGCAGAGACATTTTTAACTTGCACAATCAATATGAGTGCGTGCATGTATATTGTGTGTGTGTCTGTGTGTGTGTGTGTGTGTGTGTGTGTGTGTGTGTTATACTGATGAATGGCCCAGCTCTTAATGTTCTCAACCACTCTGTGGACTAACTAGACTATTTAATCACCCTCTCTCATCCCCCGCCTCCTCCTCCTCCTCTCTGTTTTTGCCTCTCTGCCAAAGCTCAGTGTACTGCTGAGGTTAGACAACACTTATTGTACAATACATTACTGCTGTGTGTGTGTGTGTGTGTGTGGGAGACAGGAAAGTGAGTGTGTGAGCATTAGCGCTGCATCAGTCAGTGTCCAGCCTGCTGCCTCGTACACCTGTCGGCTCGTTATAGAGCACGGCTAACACACAGAGGTGGCATACGTGTAACACACACCTACACACATCCCTTGTTATACTTGTGTTGACTTATACTCACTCCCTAACTTCCCTTAACTTCTGCTGTCACTGCTAATTGCCTGACTCCAGCCATTACCTTAACTTTCACGTTTAACAGTGACACTTAAAATAACCCTTTTTCCTAATGAGGCTCGAAAAGGGCCGGTCGCAAATTATTCTTTTACTTTATAGACACACACACACACACACACACACACACACACACAGACACACACATTGGAGGACTGCACCTGCAATCTACCTGTAACTGGAGGTGGGTGTCGGCACGTGACATGATCACTTTGTGGGGTGTATTTACGTGTGAATGAGTGTGTGCGCCGGTAGCAGTAATGAGCACTGGGCCATGGGATGCCCATAGGCGAGGTTCCCCCCGAACGGGGTCACACTCAAGGACGTCTGGCACTGATCCACACGCCCACCTACAGTACGCACACATAAAACATATTGGAGCAGCAGACCACAAGCTGATCCGGCGCCATTAAGCAACTGCGAGGAAACAACATGCTTTTTGTGCATCACACCCACCCGTTGTGTTTTCTCTCAGTTCTGTCTGTCTCCTCTTTACTGCTGCAGACACACCGACGCACACGGCGAAACACCCTCTATTCGTCCCCAAACGAACGAGAGATTCACGCTCCACTAGCAAAGACTCTCAGAGTGTAGGTTATTAATGAGAGCATGTCCTAACAACATAACGGAGCCACTGCCCCATGGAGGGGAGGGAGAGGAGAGGAGAGGGGAAAAGTGGAGGGAAAAAGAGGAAAAAAGGTGAGCGCAGAGGGAAAGAGCGGAGGTGTGAGGATTAAAGAAGAGGAGGAAAAAAAAGGTAAGAGGAGTGGGAAGAGCACATGAGGTGAGAGGAAAGAGAGACACTACAGAGGAGGTGGGGGGAAAGGGATGAGGAAAAGGAAAGAAAAGAAAAGGCAAGGAGAGGAAAAGGAGGAAATAAGAAAAACAGAAAGGAAGAGGAATGGAAAGGGGATGAGGAGAAGAAAAAAGTAAAAAGGAAGAGGCAGGAAAAGATGTAGGAGGATGAGATGAAGAACGTAGGGGGAGGATATGAGAGGACACCAGGATAAATGAGAAGATGGGGGAGGAGCAAAGTGGAGAAAAAAGGCAGGCAAACCAAATTGAAAAAAGGAAAAAGAAGGAAAGGAGAAGAGTAAAATGGTAGGTGAATGCAGAATTAAAGAGAGGAGCTGGAAGGACTAAAGAAGAAATAAATTAAGTAAGAGGAAGAATAGGACATGAGACGAGAGATGGAACAAAAGAAGGGGAAAAGAGGAAAAGGGAAGGAGACAGAGAAAAGGAAAGGAAAGGAAAGGAAAAGATGGTGAGAAAAAGGAGAGGGAAGGTAGAAAGAGACAAGGGAAGGAAAAGGGATGAGGGGAAGAAGAAGAAGAAGGGGAATGAAAGGGGGAGGAAAAGATGTAGAGGAGAGGAGCTGGGGAAAAAAAGAAGGGGAGGATATGAGAGGACAACAAGATAAATGGCACTGGAGAGAGAGATGAAGAAGAGGAGAGGACACTGGGAAGGAAAAGGAGAGAAGACAAGGAAGATGGACCCAAGGAGAGGAAAGGAAATGTGAAAAGAGGGATGAATGAAAAAGAGAAGAGAGAAAGGTGGAGGAAAAAGGAAGGAAAAGAGGAGAGCAGATAAGTAGAGAAGGAAAAAGGAGTAAAATGGTAGGTGAAAGTAGAGGGAAGGAGAGGAGGTGGAAGGATTACAGAAGAGGAAGATGAGGAAGAAGAGAGGAGACTGGGAAGGAAAAGGGGAGCAGAGAAGAAATGTAAGTAACAAGAGCAGAAAGGTGGAGCTTGGTGGTAGCAGCAAATATTGGGGTTTAGAGGCACCATGACAAAATCTTCTGTGACGCTTAATGATGTCCAGTTAGAGCAAATGTGTGTTTATAGTGTTCCTTAATCTGAGCTACCTGCATGTGTCCATGTCTTAAGGCAGCAGTAACAGCATAAGGGGAACACAAGTAGAGGGATGAAGAGAAGAAAGAACAAACATGAGATGAGTGTCAAAGTAAACAAGGGGGAAAGGAGGAGAAAAAAGAAAAGGCAGATATGAGGTGAGGGGGAAAAAAGAAAAGTCAAGTAGAACACGGAAAAAAAGTAATAACAAGAAGGGAAGAGGGAAGGAGGAGGGGAAAAGGAGGAAAGGTGATGAGGAGACGAAGAAGGAAAGAGGCAGCAAAGATGTAGAAGAGAGAAGAAGAAGAAGGAGGGGAAGACGTGAGAGGACGCCAGAATAAACAAGAGGACAGAGAAGGAAAGCTGGACTGTGGGAAGAGGTGAGGACGAAGAAAGGTGGTGAGAAGAAAAGAGAGCACAAATGTGAAGATAAGGAAGAAGGACAAAGGCAGGAGAGAAGAAAGGTGGACATGGGGTGAATGAAAAAAGAGAAATAGGAGAAAGGAAGGGGGAAAGGAAAGTAAAGGAGAATATGGAGAGATGAAGGAAGGAAGAGGGGGAAGAAGAAAGCAAATGGAGGAGACATAAAGAGAGGCAAAAAGAAAGGTAGTGAAGAAGAAACAGGAGAAAAATTAGAAGGCAAAGTAGAGATGAGGATGCAGAAAGTGTTGTGATGAGCGTAGAGGAGCCTCAACGTGCTCCCTGTGGTGTTATAAGGCTTATAATGGAAAAGTCGGGACAGATGGACGGAGCACCGCTGGGAGGACGTCGCCATCTAGTGTTTGGCATCTAAAACTCTGCACTTCAAAACCTGCATCCTCATGTCACATGTCTCACCTACACACACTCTGCTGTGCATGAACATCCTCCTCCCCGCTGCTCCAACAATCTGCTGCTCGTGGTCATTTTTCACCTGAGTCGTGCGTCATTATGGATGCAACATGCGCAAAAAAAACATATTTGGAATTGATAGCCAGTCTCATGAGACTTGTCGTGTGTGTGTGTGTATATATGTGAGCATGTGTGAGTTTGTGAGTGTGTGTGTGTGTGTGTGTGTGTGTGTGTGTGCTTGGCTTTTATTGTGCAAGTGATCTGGGGAGCATTGTGGGAGCGGAGCGATAAGCCTGGTGTCACTGGCGTCTAATCATACTCCATGTTCCTTATCTGCTCCGGGCTCAGGAGACGGAATGAACTGTGGAGAAGAGGAGGAAGACGAGGGGGGGAGGAAGAGGAGGGAGGGGATACGGTGGGAACTGAGGGTGGAGGGAGAAAAAAGTGAGGGATGAGAGATGTGAGGAGGGTGATGGGGACATGAGAGAGGAAGCAGCGGAGATTTAAGGGTCTGCTGCACTAAAAGCATATAAGGAACTGGTGCCAAGGCCCGTGTCCCGACTCACCTCACCGCCCACACAGCACAAACCCACTTTGTGTAAGAGGATCCGCCGAGCCGGTGCAGCTTCCCACTGCGTGTGCGCATGTGTGAGTCTCTGTGTGTGTAAGTGTGTGTGTGTGTTGGGGTTATCAGGAGTGCTAAGGATGGGTGGTAATTGAATAATGACAGTAACGCCTCTGATGGATTACCTGTCACTCTCCTCCCTCCTCTCCTCTCCATCACTGTCATCCCTCCTCTTCTCCGTCGCTCTCGCCTCCCAACCTCCGGTCAAATCGTCTCCCGTCCGCGCCGTCACCCGAGTCTGCGCAGACAAAGACACCCGCAAAAGTGCGGGATGAGCAAGATGACACGGCTGCACGGATTCACGCCAACACGCGCTTCTTGTAGGCATGTTGTCATTCAGAAAGAGCAGGAGAATCACCAGGAGCCTTTACTTAAGTTGAAGTTCCTGCGTTATGCACCTGTAGAAGAGTTCCTTATGCTAAAGGACGTGTCAGTCTGTTCTATTGGGACTGAAACTGATCAAACATGGGTTAAGAATCAAGAATTTTCTTTTTTCTAAGAGTTCGCTCCCGGATCAAAAAGGACACTCCCAGTAATCCCTTATGTTGTCTTATCTTATTATATCTTATCTTATCTTACGAAAAGTTCAGATGACCTCTGACCTGCGGCCCTCCTCCTCCACTCAGTCCTGCAGCAATCTCAGGTTTTCAGCGTACACTGTAAAACAAATTCATGTACTTTTAACTGTAGTTTTAAAAGAATATCTTGTTTTACAGATTTTCCAGTTTTGTTAGATTACTAGCCCTTAAATAAAAGACTAAAACTGTACATGTCATAAAAATGTCTGTATTCTCATAACTGGAATTTTTATTTATTTTTATTTATTTTTTATGACATTTTATCTTAAAGCTACATCCAAAAAATACACAAAAATAGCATTTTAGAGCATTAAAAAAAAAATTACATATTTAAAAAAAAAATAAAAAATTTGACCAAAACTGTGCTACTATTTAAAAAAATAAATAATGTTTTAAACTGTAATATTACGATATCTTTCACTGTATTTAAGTCAGCAAAAAGGGGCCATTACATATAAAATCTATATTTTTACAAACAGCAATTTTGTTCTTTTACAATGTGTGACCATAAATTGTATTTAAGCAGCTAAAAATCTCATTATTTTCAGATATGTTGTTTTTTTTACATTGTGGAATTCTATCATTTTTTAAATGTATTTTTCTAGCACCTTTGCTGCCACACTTTCACCATTTCCTTATGGGGTTATTATTATTAATATTTCTTTTATTTATTTATTTTACAGTGTAGGCAGCTATCTGTTTGAAACACCTGTAGCTTACACAGGATTTGCACAGACTACAGGCTAAACTGAAGGTAAATATTAACACCTGTAGATATAGTCTGCCATATAGAATTTATGCCACATTATTGCAACAGTATTTAACCAAGTCAATGTATTTGTTACGGGCCCCGGCTGGCACGGTGACCACGTCAACAAAGACAATTTCTGAAAAGACAGACTGCAAAATACATGTAGAGTGTGAGAATAGGAACAACAGCGGTCCCGAGACATAAACTACAACTTGGCCAACTTTCAGTACGACTTCACTCTAGAGAACTCCGTCCTCCATAACGCCTAATCTGATTGGACGTTAGAGTCGTTAGTAGTTCACACTGTGGGAGACGGGACTGATAGGCTCATATAACCAGCTGTGGATTACATCAGTAACTCCAACAGGAACATTTACTATATAAACAAATCAGACTTTATTGAAATGACAATAACTTTAAAAAGTCGTAGAGGCTGAACTCTGAATTTCTGTAATTAGCTTCCTGTCCATTGTGTCCTTTCAGCATAGAGCCACTTTAGTCCAATGAATCTAATCAAATCTGAATCATACTAGGACTGTTTTAGGTGAAAGGTTTCCTCCAGATTGCGTATGAGCAGTAACAGGAAGTTGGTTGGCACCATGCAACCGGGGAGCTGCAACCACATAGCGTCAAAGGTTCTGCCCCTCTACATCATTATTTTATACAGGACTACAATTACACCCAATTACCAAAATAATATCAAATGTGGTCACATGTTTTGGATTACCACATATTCGCCTACAATATGCAACACACACACTGTTGAAATCACAAGTTTAAGTACCTGACTACCTGAAACCACCACCCCTGACTCACTCCTGCACTGTACCTCTGTATCATGCTGCCAAACACACCCAGGAAGTTATGTAGCTCCGCCCTCTTGGCCTTCAAAGCCCCTTTCCCCCCAAAACCACTGCACCAAAACCCAGAAGCACTACAACAGACCTTCTAACCTCCATCTGTTACTTCACTTGGTTAACATTTCATAGTGATGAGTGTCTCCTGGTTGTTTTGGATGCTTCTTATTTGTATCACATTACATCAGAATACCTCGGAGACAAGGGAAATGCCAAAGCAGTGAAGCAGATGCATTGATTATGTCGGTTAGAGTGATGTCAGTGTCCTGTATTTATTAGACTGCTCGCTTGTGCTGACATTTTCAATTTGATCAGACACGAATTTGTCTTTATGGATTTGATCTCGCCGGTTAAACTTGCACATCCGACATCGCTTCCCATGATCACCACATGACTCATCGTTGTCATCATGATGTAAGTCACAGCGAAAACACAATCATCGTGGGTTTTTTTTCTTCCTTTTTGCAAATAACTCTGCGCTCATTGATTTGTATTTCAGCCCATACACTTCACAGTACTCTGTGCTTTCTACTGATGCATCAAGATGTAAAAGCCGCAGTTTAATCACTGGTGGAACTTTGGATCCTTTAGTGAAAATAACAATAGTACACTTTAAAAATGCTCCTTTACAAGGAAAAGCCCTGAATGAGTTTCATCAACAACATTTAGTTTGCATATAAACAGCTCAAGTTTTTATTATGTAGACTGGATGCATCATATTGGTAGACGCTGCCTTGTATATTTAGCAATCAATTGTGTATTTGGTCAATGTGGAACCAGTTTTAACTACACAATACTTGGTTCTTAACTCTATTGCAAAGAGGCATATCGTACCTCTGATTGTATGGTTTGTGTGATAAATTGGCAAAAGTAAATAACAATTGATGTTAGATGAATGTAAACAGTGTTATATTTCCTTGAAGGTTAAAGGAAGGTTAATTTTAGCTAATTAATCAGTAATAGTGCATGAATTTTTAATATAATCACGTTTTGTAAATTGTAACATGCAACAAAAAATATGTGAAAACTAAAGTATTAATGAAATAGGAATGTTAAGTGGCATATAATGGCAATACATCAGAGTAAGGTGCTGTGCTAAGTTACAGAAATATGATTATTTAGTGTTTAGGTAGATTGTTTTTTATTTTCCATTGTTTTTATTAGAATATATTTCCAATGTATTCATGCTGCATTGTTTGTGTGTTTTCCTCTTAATCTGTTGTGTGTTTTTTATTTTCATTTTCCAAAGCCCACAGTTTATTGACCTCTCTTTTCTGTTCATCTGTTTTTCTGCTATTTGTACATTAGTACACAAGTATGAAAATAAAATTACTAATTATCATTTTCCTCCAGTGGCACTGACACATTTTCTCCTTTTCATACGCACACCTCAAGGTTGAGAGGACTGTGTTGTTGTTTTTTATTTGTGCATTACAGCAAAATGGGCAGCGGGAGAGCAGAGGATTGAGAGCGATTGCAGCACTCTGCTGCAATGCAGTTCAATCTACAGTATCTGCTCGCTGCTAAATGGTACTCCTCCATCACAAGCAAAGGCTTTCTCCAAAGGATTAATGTTGTAAATCAGGCTGAAGCTGTGCCAGTAGGTGCATTCAGTGTAGCCTGAGTAGAGCTGTGTTTCTACATGGGGACCACCTATGATGATGGTGTGCCTACCTGGGAGGTGCTTCTCTCCACCTGAGTGAGCACCTGAGACTCTCTATGCAGCTCTTTGTGTGTTTGACCTCCGTTTTTCTACTTCTCCTCATCCCAGCTCCTCCTCTTGTTCCTTACTTCTTTTACCCGAGCGACTGAGAGGAAGCAAGAAGACTATTTCTGAGCGAATGTGTGCGCAAGAGGCAGAAACAGTGACAGTGAGAGGCGTGTGACGGAGCGACAGAGATGATATCGAGCGTAATTCATTTCCACACAGATATCATGTAGCCGTTTCAGGATAATTAGAAATCAGCTTCAATGGAAGAGGGGGGATTATTTCCTTTATCATCATTCATTTAATTGGTTGAAAAAAAATAAAAAATAAAAAGAAGGTTTGCAGCTCTACACATTCAGGCGGCGAGGAGTATTTACATCAAGCATCTTTTAAGACTGTCGGACAATAAACAAATAGCACCAGTGGTACAAACCAGAGTTGAATTGGTACAACAGAAATACACAGATGGCAAAGCAAAAACAAAAAGAAAAGAAATATCTGCAAATTTCTGTGAATACACTGCTGTGTTGGTACGTTTGTGTGTTCTTGCAGCACAGTGAGGTCAAAAGCACAACTTGATGAGGAGAACTTCATCCGGCTTATCAGTTTATTGCTGAGCTCAGTGGTGCAGTATGTGAAAGAAAATAATAATAATAATAATAATAAAAAAGAAGAGGTGCCCAGAATTATAGCCTGTTGATGCATTTTACAGTACATGATTCAGTAGGTCAAGTAAGGCTTATAAACTGTGCTGGTGGTTTTTACTGTGATTCTTTAATTATAGCGCCGTAAACACGTCAGGCAAATGAATGATCTTAGCTTTTTTTTTTTTTGGATAATCACCTTTTTGTCATTGAAAATTCAGTAAAACTCTCTCTCGCGACAAATTCTTTTATAAGACTACATGCTGAGCCGACTAATTTTTTAGTAACTCTCACCTCCCATCATCTCTCTACTGGTACCGATGTTAAAGCATAAACGACATACTGCAGGAAAAACACAGAAGCAAGAGAGACAGATTTGGAGGAAACTTGGAGTTCATGCTGCGTGATGCAAATCAATTTCACAGATGAATAAAATAATCGAAGTCTTAATAAAAACAAAAAAAAAAGACTCACTCAGGGGTCATTGGAGACAACCGGAGCCTCAATCCCCCTTTTTTTTTTCTCCAAACTGTATCGTGTTACAATACGCTGTCAGCTGGCACAGTCCAGTCCACCATACCAGACGTGAGAAAGCAGTGATCCAAAGTAGAGAGCTATACAAGCCATGGGAAAGCAGCAATCCTATCAACACATAGGCACATAAACCTACAGACACACACTTTCTCCCTCACTCACACACAAACAGTATAATATGCCAGACTGCCAATTAAGGGAATAATGGCTGTGGGAAGGGGGGAAAAAAAAGTCACACACATGCACACATACAGTAACTGAGACTTCTAAGCTCAAAGTTAATAGCACCCAGTTGTTCAGTGCCAGAGACGGACCCTGTTGGAGGGGGAAGGGAGGCGGGAGGGTGGTACCGAAGCTAAAGCAACAAGCCAAGAAGGATGCAATTTCCCGACCGATGCACAGGAACAGTTCACAAGACTTTTTTTTTTGTTTAATGGAAAGAAATTTTCTGCAGGGTGTGTTTCATGTTTTTTTTAAGGGAATTCTACAAAAATCCTGATCAGCATCTTCCCTCATTAGCACAATAACAACTGTCATTAACTTGCGCCTCTTTTCTAATCTATTATCGTCTATTTCTGTCCTATTCCTTTATATTTTCCAGTGTCTTTAAAAAAAAAAAAAAAAAAAAACACGCTCGATTTCAGGAACATTTTAATAGCCGATTAACCCCTCTCAGCGTCGTCCTACCCTTTCTAGCTGGCATATAAGAGGACGTCTAGGATGGAGGAGGGTATGGATATAGTAATCGCGATTGGGCGGTGAAATGCTGGGAGGAAACAAACATTGTAAGCAAAGCAGAAAGAAGGGAGAGATAGCGAGGCAGAGGGACGCAGATGGCAGGGAGGGGAAGGCAGAACTGGAGGATGGAGACAGCGGGATGGGGTGGAAGTTGATGCGCTGGATGTCTTCCTCCTCTTCCATCAGCAGAAGCCTGTTGGTGGGAAAGTGCAATAATGAGAACAGCTGCAGTGGCTACACACAAACACACACACACACACACACACACACACACACGCACGCACAAAGCAGAAAACACTCTTCCAGCCACTTAGCCACCCACTCTTCATCAGCAGATCCACATAAACACACTTTTGCAGACAGGCAAATAGGGGCGCAGCAGCAGCAACAGCATCACTCTTACCCTCACACTCGAAGGCCTGCAGGATGGTGGTGTAAGTGGGGCCCAGCCAAGAGGTGTAGCTACCCAGAACTCTCTGCAGGTGGTGGGTGGCATCGCTGAAGAGCAGATCGGATTGGCCGTAGCCTGCTGAGCTGAACAGGCTGAAGCCCTCGGTGGCGTTGCCAAACACATTCTGCAGGAGAGAGAGAAGTGTGTGACAGCACTTAATGCATGAGGGCATGCATGGATGTGCGTTGGCGTGTTCTGTGTGCATGTGTGTCTTTGAGATTGTGGCGTATGTGCAGCCCGGGGAGCAGCACAGGACCTTTCAGTCATCCTGGCGTCTCCCACACACTCAGTAAGGAAGAAGGATGGCAGTTTAGCAAATACCTGCGCACCGGGTCGCACAGATCAATAATACAGACTCCACAGAGACATGAGAGAGACACAAGTGGGTCTGGGGCAACAACAACAACAACAACAAAAAACACACACACACACACACATGTACAGACAGTTGATGCAATTCATACCCACACCCACCTGTAAACGTTCCAGGTATTTCCAGACGCGGCACTTATCCTCCATGCGCACCACCACAGCGTTTGCAGGGACTGCTGCCAGATGGCACCGCACATACTCGTCCAGACCCGCCTCAGTTCCATCTGGACACAGCAGCTTGAGGTCCTCCAGCTCCAGATCCAGGGCCCAGGACTCCTGATTCTTACCTGTGCAGGAGAGAAGCGGTTGTATGTGAGATTAATTTAATTAAAGGAGTTACAGAGGAGGGAAATGCTCATATTTAATTTCCTGCCCAGTGTTACAACCGACTGTTAAGTATAAAGCTATATAGTTTAGCTTTACAAACACTAGGGCTAGCACGGCTAACCCCTCTCATGAACATGTTATGCCTTGTTTGTTTAATGTGTGCCAGAATGACTATTTGTGGTTTTTTAGCATGGATTTAGAGGGACTACTTCTTGGCCAGCTGCAGTGAGATCCCGGAGCTCGGAAGCCTGGCAGCTTCCCGATGGTCCCTCGAGGAAGTCCCTGCATCCTGCCAAGATGTAGTTCCACACAAGCTTCCAGTCTTCATGCTAAGCTAAGCTAACCAGCTGTGTTTCTTTGAACCAGTTCAAAAGTCCTCGTCTAGAAAGATGCATTATCAGCCTTGTATCTGGCTGAATGTTCACAGGATTGCTTATATATGAGGGGTATTTATTTTCCATACCATCAACTAAGAACTGAAATTGTCTTGTTTTGTGCACGTATTCATGTGTTTGTGGTGCACATTTATCAAACTTCTCAAACACCAGAATGTTGATTTTATATGCTGAATAGTTTCCACCTTCATTTAGACAGATTTGACCACACAAGCCCTTAAAAAAAAGAAAAAAAAGGAAACATACCCCTATTTAACAAAACAAACAGTAATGTGGGAAAAATGCAGACAACCTTGAAGCAACGTTCTCCCTTGACAGCAGCACGGACCTTCTGTGTTTTCTTGACCCCTCTTAATTGGCCTGACTCCGGACATTTCAGAACCATATGATAAAGCATGCTTCGTTAAACAGCTACAGTGTTTGTAGCCAGCGTCAAACGGCTCCTTCTCAGCTGTACCAGCTGAGCCTGTGTAGCGTGACGGCGATAATGATCACCATTAATTTTGGATGTAGCCCAGAGCGGAGGAGCAGATGCAGCAAACAGAGAATTAGGACACTTCGGTGCTGGACAAAAAAATGTCTGTACCTCTGTTTGTCCATCCTGCCTGTGTGATATGTGTCAGCTTTACCTGTTGTCAGTCTTATGTTCACCTTTGTTCATATTCCTCATGTTCTCTCTGTCTCACAACCACACGTATGATCATTAACTGTATAATTTCAGTTTAATCTGTTCATCGTACTCACATTCTGTAAAACACCAAAATACATTGTGAAATACTGACATCCTGTGTCCTGACAGGGAGTAGCACTCTCTTTTAGTTACAAGAAACCTCGTCCTCTTGTAAGTCCCTTAAATTAGCAAATTATATCACTATTTAACAAGCTTTAAAATGCACAATATTTGAAACACTGACCATCCAGATTGTCAAAGACTGTCGTGTGTTTGACGAAAGCCACGTCGCCGAGGTTCTCAGCCACGCACCTCGAAGAAAGAGAAACAGAAAACACAAGAATAATCAAGCACATTTCGTCTCTTTTTGTCTATAAATAGATCAAAACATGAATAAAACAAAGACTCGGCACGGCGGGGAATGAGTTATTGTAGCAGTGCGACTCTGGAGACGATAAGTAAACTCCCTCCTCCACATATTGTTGCACTTTAAGAAACTGTTAAATCACCCCCTGCAGCTCTTTTATCTTTCTATTCCCATCTCAAACACACTGACTAGTTGTTTGTGTGCGTTCGTTTTGATCTAGTCTGTCTGAATGAGTGGAGTTAGTGTTTGTTAATATAATGTCTTCTGCCTCACCAGAATTATAACCTATTCATCACTCGATTATTATTATTATTATCACTGCTGTATTCTTTCAGAGCTGTTCTTCCTGTATGGAGACAGAACACTGAGATGGAATCAAAGCAAAGTGGACACAGAGGCAAGAGTCCCAACAGCTGCCCCCCCTCTGGGCGCTATATGGTCCCCCCTTGTCAGAGCTGTACCTCAGTGCTCCGGCCTCTCCGTAGTGCCTCTCTCTGTGGTTGTTGGCACAGATGTGTCTGTCATTCTCGTCTCCTATGCAGGCTTCGCACAGGTTCTTGGGGTTGTTGCCTCTGGGATCGTGCTGGGGGTCCTTCACACCTGGCACACAGCTGTACCCGAAGAAGTTCCCCACCACTGGCAGCAGAAAGAGAGAACAAGTCAGTGTCGGGAGGGAGAGACGGAAGAACCCTTCACACCTCAATGAAATTATCATAGTTCTTCAGAGGAACAGTTAAATGTGTGTTAAAGTGAGGTTAGAGGATTTGGGTGTGTTTGCATTGCAGAATACACTTTGGTATCTTCCAGCTGGCATCTCATCATCCTATAAGACTGAACGACTTTCAGTTTTGTATCTGTAGTGTTAACCGCCATGCTCTGATTTTTTTCTGCCTGCTAACTTTTTGGCTTGTGGCCCTTTTGAACCAAACTTCATCACTGGCTGTGACTCTAGATGTGAGTTATGCTCAGCCAAAAACAGATTTTTTTCTTCCTAAACAGTTTTTTTTTTAATGGAAGCACCTCTAAAAGGTGACAATATTATTATTTCACATTAAAAAAATCAACATATTTTAGAGAAAAGCCTGGAAAGACTGAATTCTTGGGAACTCCAGGTCAGAAAACCACAATAAAAGAAGCACAACATTTAGGGGAAAAAAATCCTGGTTAACAAATGTTCATCTCCCATCTTGATCTGTTCAGTGTCCACCTGTCTTGGTCATTACATCCCCACACTGATACATCCTACCTCACCCATCTCACATTTACAGAAAAAAAAGGCGCTCCTCTTCTCTTACCTCCTCCATCCCTTCTCCTCTACGTTCCGCTTCACTGCTTCTCCCTCTTTCCTTCCTCCCTGCGAACCTCTCACATACCTTTCTCCACATCACCACACACCTACACACTTCCGTCTCTTTCTCCCCCTCTTTCCTCCGTCCCGCTCGGCCTCACCTCTGGGGAAGTTGCACTGCTCTCCTACGCTGATTTGGGACGTGTTTACCAAGTAGCCTATGGGGACAGTCCACCCCACTGTGGTGCGTATTCCCGGGTGACAGGAGCTGCGTTCGTGCATCTCCAGCAGCGAAAGATCTGACGAGGATCGACGAGCCATCGCCACCACGTAGTAGCTGATGCCATCTGGAGGGAGGGTTTGTGGGGGAGAATAGACAGGGAGGGAGGTCAGGGGTGAGAAAATGAGAGGAAAAAACATATATTCCAATAGATGGTGTACATATTATGTACAAGTGCGACATGTCTGGGCATCAGCTATGTCACTATTTTATACTTCTTTCATCACCTGCTGCAGAGCTCAAACTTGTGGCTTACCGACACCGTTGTGGGACTCTCCTGCAGCAAGTTCCAGCCCATGGCAGAAACCAGCAGCATAGATGTCGTCTCCAAACATAGAGGCTGCATCTGCTGTCCCATTCTGAGTAAAAAATAATCAGTTTTATGTATGACTACGGGCTACTTGGTTGTCAGATAAATATACAAGAAACAAGATTTTTTTTGTGTGTGTGTGTGTGTGTATGTGAGTCCCTTTAGGACCAGTTCAAAAGAGCCAAAGCAATTTCAAATGACATGCATCTGACAGACCTTCTATTAGACAGGTCATAGAGAATTCTGAAAAATATACGGCAAGCAAATGAAGATGTGGATTCCACTGTGATGGCGTAAAACAGACTCATCCTGAGAAAGCACTGCTGAAGGTAGTGCTTCGCTCTAAAACGTACAATCTGCAATAACCGATTCTACTCTGTGCAATTGGAGTAATTATTAAAAAGTCATATAAGCATATTTTATAATACAATCTGGACAATCCACATCCCTGTTTCTTCATGCATGTACCTTGATTTTATCCATACAGTCCCTGGTGTTCAGGCCACGGACGCATTGCAACGTTCCTCTTACGTTGCGGGCTGTAGCATTCCCGGCCAAATCCAAGCACTTCTGCTCCTCGGCGTCAGACAGCACACACCAGGAGACTGAGCAAAACAGTGGGGAAAAAAATATTGCAAATTAGATTAAAACTGTAATCTTGATTAAGAAAACATTCCAGGAGAAGTGCACATAAATACAGCTCAAACACCACAAAACAAAGGATGCACACACTTTTTAAAACTGTTTTAACCATCACTGTAAACATGTATATATATATATGTCTATTTATAGTGCTAAATTGACATACCTGTACTTTTTTGATTGGAGACACAGCTGACAAGCAGAAGATGCAGAAAAAGGAGGAAAGCTACATGCAATCTCCTCTCAGGACAATCCATGTCGGCTCTGCTTGGCAACTTGCTCGGGACTAATTCAGCAGAGATGAGGAGCAGGTGGAATCTACTGGGGAAAAAAAAAAGTCACTCAGCTGCCCCTCCCTCACTCTTAACCTGGTCTTGAGTCAGAAAGGGGGCAATAGGCAGGAGAACGAGGCCGAATGTAGAAAGAAGAAAACATCACATTATTCCTCTATCCCCGCCTCTCAAGTTGAAGTCGTCTGTAGCTAATCCTTCCTCATCTCATGATAGCAGTATAGCATTTCCCCCTCCAATTATCCACTGAGACTTATCCCCAGCGGAGGGGATAGCTGTGGACACATGTAGGCTCGGAGCAGTTCAGGTCACCTGGCACAGAGTGTCGACCAGGGGTCTTTAATTAAAAAAGCTGCGAACAATGTGTCTCTGTGCTGGAGCTGTGTTGGTGGAGAACAGATACTGGCTGGGTCTTGCTCCGACTCACTGGAGACTAAAGCCCCAGGTAGGCAAGAACAAACAGCACCGGCTATTGTTCGTGGCCAAGAGAACCAGCGGAGAGAAAACATATCAGCCACTTAATACAATTCTGCCTTTTCTTTCTCTTTGCACACACACAAACACGCCGGAATTATTTTACAACAAAAAAATAAATTCATTAAAGAAATGTTAACAGGTGAGAAATGAATTTATCTTCTCGTCCACCTTTTAGCTGCAGTGTTACGCAATTTCAGATGCACATGGCTGCTCAGGAGATGAAGGGTCATATTGGTTTTCATGCAGTTTTTTTAGAGCACTCTTTGCAGAGAGGATGGGGGTATCTGATCCTCAGCATGCCTGAGCGAAGGGTCAAGGAAGCACAGAGGGACTGTTCAAATGGAGAAATCGCATATACTCCGAGTGAAATATAGAGTTTTGAGAGAATTCTAGTGAGAATAAACAGTGTTCTCCCCCATAAAAAACACTGCTTCACTGAGGTTAACCTTGAGTTGATGGTGTGTGAAAATCCCGTCTGCATCATTTTGCACGCTAAAAAATAATGTTTGGGCTCAATAATAATAATAATAACAATGTTGCAGCAATTAGCATCAGTCTTTTTGAGTTGTGACAACTTCTAAGGAAATTATGGTCGACCAACAAAGTACATGAGGTGAGGAGGATTTTTTCTTGCTTTAAAAATCAAATGTATGTTTAATTGGCAGATTGAGGTGACTGACAGAGGAAGCGACTTCAAAACCTGAACTCAAGGTGAAGAAAAAATCATTTATTAAGCCAATTTCATTAAGTCACCTGATGTTGTATCTAGTTTTAATGCAGAAATTGGAGTTTAAATTACACACAATATGAAGCTGATGCAATTACCAACATTATGTCAGTCGAACTCAACAAAATAAAGGACTTAAATAGTTTATTTAAATCAGTAATTAGGTATTTTATCTTGTACGGTGGATGGAATAGGTTCTATTAATTACTTTTTAGAGTGCGTATCAAAGTAAATGTGACATTAGAAGTCAAAAGGCTGTTTTTCAACTGCTGCTCTCTGGTCAAAGGTTAAATTAAAGATATAACACTGAAAAAGTCTGCTGCACAGAGGATAAGAAGCTAAAACAAGACGGAAAGTATACAAAAGAAGCAATCAAGGGGAAAGAAGAATGTGCAATGTATGTCATGCCTTTCTGTCTCAGATTTATCGACTGTCCTGCATGCATTCTGTCTTATGGACAGGAGGAGCCACAAGTTGAAGCACCATGAAACAAATGGATGATTGGATCCTAAGTACAGCTTCAGTGTTAGTGCAAAACACGACACAAACTCATAAGCATATTAAATTATGAAGATAAAAGCAGAGATGGTGCAACGTGACAAACACAGACTGTCTTTCTTCTCATCTAAATGATTCAAGACAGAATTTTGCACATTTTAGTTTGGTACTTTACTAAACTACTACATAATTGAACCTTTTCATAGATAGTGTTTATTTTTGTGTGAGCATTTTCTGATAAGTCTATTTCTATAGAGTTACATAAGGATTTGTCTTTAAAAAATAGCAGCTGTCCCTAAAAATGACAGCGACTGTTGTTGTGATAACCAACTAGAAATTAAATAATGTTTCATGACATTTTAACACCAAAAGTAAATTTTGCATTTTAGTTTGTAGGCTTTGAAAAAAATCTAGAAATGTGCATATTGATGGAATCAGTAACTGACCAATAAAACGTGTTTCTTGCTCTTTTAGTTGTCATTGGTAGTTATAACACAAATGTCTTATACAGGAAGACAAACATTCATTGAGATTTAACCAGGAATTGTTCCTGAATGCTATAAACAAGGATGACTTTCTGTGTTTTTTTTCCAGCTCTCGGTGGAGCTCTATTTATGTCATTAGTGAGTGAGCGCTCGCCCACACAGACTGAACTGTAAGATAAGTCAGGATTTTCAGAGCTAAAATTACAGGAGTTCATGACTTCTCTCTTGAGGCTGATACAGTGAGTCATAGAGTTTGTATTTGCAGAGGATGTGCTCCGGAGCGGATATAAATGGGTTGGCTGCAGCGGCTCGGTTCAATCAAC